TCCAAGTGCAATTTGCTAGGCCCATGAAGCGACACAGATAGATTCCGTTACGAGCCTCTGTTCGTGCACATGTAAGCTATCGGGGTGTCGAGATAGTCATGGGTGCGACCCGACTGTAGTGCTGGTCGTGCGCCGTCAGTCGTTCAATGTTAACTTTCTGGTATTTGCATGTCGAGGAAACGGGAAGTGTGGTCGATTTCCTAGTAGTGTTTGAAGGTGTGTAGTCTCCAGCACGAAGCAGACGTCGAGATAATATCTCAGCTACAGTCTCCGCGGGCGAGCGGAGCTGTCAAAATGAGAACGTGGGATTCGACACAGCGCCTGGAGGTGCGACCAAGACTTGCCGCCGACGCCACAGTGCGCCCCGACAACAGCTCCCATCCGAAGAGTGGCAATTGCAATATGGTCATCAGAAGTGTAGCGGGGCCATGCGGAATCACGTCTGCATTAACTTACATCCGCCAACAGTTGTTACCGCATCCGCACGAATGCTCCACGCCGCAACCTCAGAGGCGGCTCTTCCGTCTGTACGCGCCATCCCGCTCGTCATTTGGACAGTACGGGGTATGATTTGCACCAAGCTCCTCTGCTCTCTTCATCATCGCGATTGACCAGCTGCTAGATTCTAGTATGGCCGCATCCCATCTGGCTTCGACTAGGAACCCGCACATATGTCGATCGCCAAAAATTTCCAGGATTATGCGCCTTCTGAATGTTCTGCACATTGTGCCATGCTAAGATGTTTTCTGTCTGCGTACGCATGACGGTTAAAGACGTAGCTAATCAACATAATAGTCCTTTGCAGAGCACATCTCGAATGATGTTCAAATCCAAGCTGAACGTACTAGGCGGATACGCTTCTGTGGGCCTGCATCGTCCCTTGATTTACCGAACACTTGGCTCGAGTGCGCGAAAGATTGCCTGGCCTTCGTGAACGCGTGAATTCCAACTAAGGCTACGTTCCGCTGTGGATTTCTCCGCCTTCACCCTATGAGCTAACGATAGCGGATGCACCGAGAATGTGGCGAGTTTAGGCGCCCTAGGCGGGTGTCCGCTCTTGACCCTACTGACGTCTGGTTGTCAACACGAGAACTCAGAGGACAGGAATACCCCAGAGGACATGGATATAAAGGCTGGAAGAATGGCATGGAAGTCTTCATCAAGCCCTTCCAAGCTTTGCACTTCCCTGAACTTCTTCTCAACAACATCCACATCATGAAGTTCAGCGCGCCTTTCCAGACTCTCGGTGTCGCGATTGCGCTCGCACTCGCCGTCGCCTTGTCTAGTGCCGGCCCTGCGCCGCAAGTTGGTAGTGCGTCCTCCATGTCTCACACCTTGGATTGTACTCACTCCGTCTCCATTCTTCACTCAATAGATATCGCCGCGACTGACACCGGCATGGGCTCATTCAGCCTGCCGAGCTTCACGGACTTGCCCAACACCTCCGGCACGCGCGCGCTTGCCGCTCGCCTTCAACGGCTTTACAACCAACTCACCGAGCGCGGCTTCACCGTGAGTGGCGGCACCATCACCTTCGCCAACGGTAGCACGGTTAGCCCTACGTCGGGCAATGGCACAGATCAGGGCAACGGTACGACTCCGGGCAATGGCACGACGCCGGGTAACGGCACAACTCCGGGCAATGGCACGACTCCGGACAATAGCACGACGCCGGACAATAGCACGACGCCGGGCACCATGCCGCTCAACACTACGATGCCAGGCGACATGGGTAACGGCACGACTCCGGACAACAGCACAGTCGCATGAATCACTGAATCTACCAGATAAATATAATGAGCGTTTTAATCTTGTACAATATTAATACTTGGCACTGTACCCGTGTTTGGAAATCAAATGGCAGTGGATACTATGAGCATATTTATCTTGCGTGTTCTGCCCAAGTGGGAAATTGTTCTACCTTTCCAGGACCACTCAAAATTGGCATACTCCTCACTGTGAGGCGTTGAGCTGTCAGGGTGGATTACACTACGGCGCCATACGCGTTATTGTGTCATGCCTTGGGCCTGGCTTGAAACTTTGTCTTTGAGGAGGAAAAGAGATTCTAAGAGAGGTACTTAACAACTTCAAAGACAGAAGGCGGGGAAGGAAAGATGAAATCGAACAAAAGAAAGAGTCAAAGAGAGAAGATACAGCATTAGCCCACCGCGGGGGTCGAACCCGCAGCCTTGAGATTACCTAAGCAATTAGGCTGCGGCTTAAAAGTCTCACGCTCTATCCGATTGAGCTAGGCAGGCTTCTGGACGCCAACGA